TACATAGGCTCTATCTCTAATATTTAGCATTTTTCCCATGAACATAGCACACCTTAAAACTATATTTCTTCATATATATAATTTATAACAATATATATCGTCATGTAATGAATATTTCTGTTACATCTATTCTGGCGTTTCTTTTATATATTTAGATATTCTTCACGAAATTCAAAGACAAATCTGCAATGTTTTTGGTTATGAACTAGCATTTTAATATCACTCACTTCATAACGCCGTAAGGCCATATATGTGAGGTAGCTCGGTGTATCGCTGAGAAAACTGCCTATACATCATCTATATGATTTTCGTAAACTTAAGGAATCAACGCATATACAAGGCCACAAAAATCTCCTGAGACGACAAAGCATAGAAATCAAAACAATATGGGAACCAGTAATAACGAGTGCCAGAGAAAAGTAATAATAACAACAAAAAAGGAAATATGAAATATGGTAAAAAATTGTTCAAAGATAACAGCAGAAATTGCAATATGAGCACTGGTAAAATGCTTTCTGAAGACATTATGTTTATAGGTCCCAGAAATTCATATACAGGTGTTCTCAAGGACAAATGGCACAGTGGATAAAGGCGGTTGTTATATTCAGTGACAGTGTGTGTTCAATACCTCTTTAAGGTAGTGAAAAACTTGGAAAGGTGAATTAACAGGAGTTAAATGATAACTGACATCCATTAGATATGGCGCCTTGAATTAGAATAGTCTACCTTCAGTTCGACATTACAACCACCTGAAGAAGGCCGGAGCGTACACCGACCGAAACGTTGTGATAAATATGGTAACAATGATGAGGACGATAGTCCAAACAATGTAAACAATAAAAATATATATAATTAAATAAGAAAACTCTTCTAAATATATTGCGGCTTTCCTCGCCAATGTTTCATTTCCTTTCCAGAATTTCTTGCTTTTTGTTTAATCATTAGATCTGCACTCATCATTAGGTTTTTCTTTCATCTCCTATTACTAAGGAAATCTACAATAAATTTCCTGAGAGAGCTTAGATTAGATTGTCTGAAGGTTACAGATGGTGGACAAACAATGACGTTTTAACACGCGAAATTGTGTGAGAACGCGAAATATTGATCTAATTCTTTGGCGATGTACTAATTGCTTAAATAATTTGATAAAAATGCTACGACTTACTGGCACCCACTGAGAAACAAAATGACTAAAAAAGATCTGTCTTATTGTTAAGGCCTATAACAGTCTGATTGCATCATCGATAGATAAGGTAGACGCCTTTAGATGAGCCACTTATGAAGGTAATATATATATAGATTCAAATAAAAGACTTTCGCAAATACACATGAAATCACCTATATATGACTAATCCTTACCTATCAACAAACCAAGTAAATGGATTTCGACTCAAATATAAATGACCAGTATTTACCTCTACTTACGTCAAGTATATGCATATAGACTCAAATATAACAGACCGATATTAACCATTTCCGTGTCAAGTAAGTGGTTTAGGCTCATATCTAAACGACCAATATGTATCTATCAATGAATCATGTGACTGCTTTGAGACTCGAATGTACACGACAGATATTTCTCTATTTCAGGATCAAGTAAATGCATGTAGTTTGATATATAGACAAATAATTCTCTGATTTCCATCCTCCACTGCCTTGTGTTAATAACCCATAATGGGAAAAGCTTCGGGAGTAAATCCTATGGGCAGTCCTCGAGCTAGAATTCCTAAGACATTACGAGGTTGTGTTCCTCTTCGTCATAACAACTCTTCTGATAACACCGGTGCCAAGCTGTATTGGACTCTTCCTTTCCTTCGGAAAACATCGACGGCTTGGAGAGGGGAGACGTGCTGCATGGACAATCGCCGATCTCTCATTAAACCTTGTCCAGTGCTGTGCCATTGAGAAGATACTCCAGCGCCGCTAAAACACAAAAAGCAGCGGTCTACTAATGGAGAGATTCCGAATGTCCTGTATGCGGAACTGGACACCGTCAAGAAGGCATAAAGGCCACCTTCGCTTCAAGGACGTCTTCAAAAGTGACATGAGGGTTGATGGACATCGACATCGAGAGGTGGGAATATGTCGCCAACGATCGCGCACGCTGGAGACGCGATTTACACTGAGGCCTGGAGCGAGCAGAGAAGTGGATAGTTGACGCCGGGGTGAAGTGCGCTCAAAGAAAAAAAACACTGGGGAAAGCATCTTCACATGCATTGGTTGCAATCGTAACTGTCACTCTTTTGTTGCCATAACAGGTACTGCACTGCAATCAGAAGCTGAGGCAAATCTTTTGGGGCGCAGATTCATGGTTACTCCACACGAATGATGTCACAGATTTCTCGTCCTCCTGAAACATTGCTGAGCAATATGGCGTCACAGATCACAAGAACAGATCTCTCTCAGCATACTGTGGTTTCACTATCAGGTAAGTTTTGTTGAAGCTGCTATAACCATTCTCTACCTTTTTCCGGCCCAGTTTAAGCTGAGAGTATTAAATGTTTGCAAACCTACCCCACTTAACTACTGACACTGCTAACTTCGGTGACCAAACAATAATCGGTGTTTCAGCGTGACTTCTAGACTCATATATAAATGACCAATGCGTGGTGTTCTGGTTAACAAGCTTTTCTTGCTGGATCAATTAAGAATGAACAGTAATTTCCATACTCAACGGTGCTTCATATTCTACGAGTTCTGCTTCACCTAAGCTACACTTAGTAAAGTGCTACATTAACGACCAAAATTTACGTACCTGACACAAATATTTACATATAGTTTCAAATATAAACTACCACTATCTTCTCATTATCAGAATAAATAAAAGAGTTTCAACTCTATAAATATAACTAATCGAAAATTACCTAAACTCAAATTAAATGCATATAAATTCATATATAAATGACCAATATTTACTTTTCTTCAAACCAGGAACATGTTTACAGACTCAAATATGTTCAAGCAATATTTACCTATTTCCGAATCACGTACCAGCAAAGAGACTCATAGATATTCTTATAGATGCAAAGTTAAACGTCCCAGATATACAAATCCCCGAACCAATACTTATACATTCCAGTCTGAAACACCTGGAACATAAAGCTTAAAGCTTCAAATATAAAGTACCAATGTTTACCTATTCCGGAACCAAGTAATTACTTACAGACTGAAATATAAATGAAAAGATTTATCTATCCATGAACAATGAAACTGCTTATATAGAACATTGTAAATAATTTCAAAGTTATACTTGAAAAATCTCCCTGAAACTCTCAATACAATTATATCTTTTCAGTTTCGTAAACTAATCTAACGTAAACAAAACAACAGTTATTTTTTTTTTTTTTTTAATTAAACATTCACTTTCTTGTAATGTCATATTTGTGTAAAAAACATTACATTTATTTTGGTCTACTAGCCTGGATATTCGAGAAATTTTATAACAAAAATCTATGCTCATCTACATGATACGAACATGCGTCTCTCTGGGCAAAAACCGTCGTTACATTCGGCCATTCGCCCCACATATTGGTAGATGAAAATAAAGGAAAGTATCAGCTAAAGTTGAGTAATATATATATATATATATATATATATATATATATTATATATTCCAATAAAAAATAGCAATATGTAGTTACAAATGAAGCTTTTTAAGAATTTATAGACTCAAATATAAAGAAGAAATATTTACCTATTGGCGAAAGAAAAATAAATGTGTATATAAGAAAATATAAAACGTCATAGTTTACCTATTCCCAAAAGTAGTGAATACTAACCGACTCGAAAAACAACATTAAACCAATAACACTTCGGCATTGGATAAACTAAGGAGTGTTGACAAGTTGTAAAGTCAGTTGATTCAATAAAAACCAGCTAGTTGGCAAGCGTGACTAGCCTGCTAACGTCGTAACTTTCTAGACGACTATAGCCATATATTAGGCAGTTTGTAACAGATCCAATGATGATGGAACTTATATCAATAGTAAGTTTCCTTGTAGACCATGTATGCTAACCATCAAGCCATATTAGAAACCCAAATAGATTGCCTGTAGATCAGATGTAATGGACTGGTTAATTTCTAAGTCTTAAAAGAGAGACGCAAGAAAAAGAACAACAATTCAATCGTGTCCTAACAAAAAAAAAGGGTGATGTAAAACGTGGATTTGCCAGATAAGTACATTTCGAATGAATGGCGTTTCAGATTATTTCGGTGACGTCCTTCTTTGGTTGCTGTAGATTGCTTTTCGCAATTTGTATTTTTTTTATATATTCTGTTTGCCTTTCGTCGTCTTCCAATAAACCTATTCATTTTAAGGCACATCCATCTTGAATTTCTCTTTTCTTTTTCGTATCCGATTTTATCGATCTTTCTGTTCCTAATCTCCTTGCTTTCCTTCAAATTCATTTTCTTTGTTTTATTCAATTATTTTACCTTTTTGTTATTTTTTTTTAAATTTGTCTTTTTTCAGATTCGTTTTTTATATTTCTTCACTTTGAAAACAAATTTTATTTCTTTTTTTTTCTCAGATTTCAAGAATTTAATCTGCTTTTCTTATATAATATATTTTCTGCTTTTCATTTTAGTGTTTTTCCTTTTTACATCTATTTTATTTTTAGATTTCGTTCATATGTGATTACTGTTACAGTCATGTTTTATTTTTTTTACTGTTGTTTTACTTTTACTATCGGAATTTTTCCTTCTTTATTCTTCGTATTCCTTCTTTATTTGAACGTATTTATTTTTCGTTCATTTTTATTGATCTTATGTCTACTATTTCATCATTTATTCTTCTATTATTCTTTAACGTTGTTTTCTTCTTTCATCATTTCATTGATCTTTCAGTCTCTTCATTCATTAATTTTGTGTAAATATTTTCCTAATTAACTTCATTTATCTTTGTCTTATTGCGTCTTTTAAAAAAAAATTCATTTTCTTTCTTTATTCGTTGATCTTCATTCTTTCTCATTCTTTTATATATTACGTTTTACTTCATCAGATTTCATGGTTCATCTTTTCTATGTTTTCACTTTTCATACTTCTTTCATTTTGTCATCTTACTTTCCACATTCCTTATTCCAGCGGTTGTCTTTTTTTCCTTCCATTATTTTTTGTTCATTTTCGATATCAAATTATTTTCGGTATTTTCTTTTTCTTCTTCTCCTCCGCTTTCTTCTTTCTTTTCATTTTTTTCTTCCTCGTTTTTATTTCCTTGTTAGTTTTTTTGTGCTATTTTTAGTTTTATTTAATTCCTTCCATTTTTCTATTTATTTGATCGTCTATCTTTTATTCTTTGATTTTCTTTTCTTCCGCCACCATTCTGTTACTCTTTCTTTCCTCTTTATTTTATTGTCTTTCTAGTTATTTCCTACTTGTCTTATTTTTCCCATCTTAATATCTCTTCGTTCTAATTTCTTTTTTCTTTCATTTTTCTTTTTTTATTTCCAAACTTGTTTAATTTCCTTTTTCTATTTAATTGTTTGTCCTTCTTTTATTCTTTGTCATTCCATTTTCATTCATGCACCTATTTTCGCTTTTTATTCAGTTTACTATTCATCCTCCTTGTTTCGTTCGATCTCATACTGATTAGTCTTTCTTTACTGTACATTTTCTTCTTTGTCTCAGTCTTTATATGTCGTTCGTCAATCTAGTCTGAATGATTAGAATTTTAAGCTCTTTTATTTCCTCTTCAAATCAAAGCTTTATTTTTTAATTAATGTATTACAAAAAAAATGAAATAGAAAGGAATATAATTAAAATTCTTTTTTTAGTAATTTTTCCCACTATTTTGGTCTTCTGTCCTCAGTCAATTTGTTCGTTGACTTTTTCTTACACTTTTGAATTTCTACCATTTTTTTGTTTGCCGATTTTTTTTTTAACGCTTTAACTAGATTTATTGCTTTTTTATGGTGGATATTTTTATACCTTTAATATATTTTTAATGATTTTATTACTTTAGGTATCGTCTTTTTCAGTTTGAATTAACTTCCATTAAATTCATACGTTTTTTTTTGTTTTCTTTTTGTTTTTTGCTAGGATTACATTTCTTACATAACGCCTTCCTCCTGGTCATTGTCAATGTTTTTTTTTCCTTTTATATCCTTCATTTTGTACTTTCTTTCATGTTTTTCTTCATTCCTAGTCTTCATGTTTTTGACGCTGTTGTTATAGGATATATTCTCTTTAATATGAAAAATATAAAACCGTAAAATCATATAAAAAACTTAACTTACTTTTAATGGTTGAAGTTTGCGAAACAATTCACTTACGAAAGAACAATTGCTAGCGTCCTGGTTAAAACGATAAACTACATCCAACGGCAAGACCTCTTATCAGGAGGTTTTGAGGAGCGTGGGACCACCTCTTAAATTCTAGTGTTCTCAGGTCCACCCTGACTCGCGGTAGTATCTCCTCTTAGAGTCCCAGCTGTGGGCAAATAGTTAACCCCCAAAGTGTTTCTCAAAACACTATGAATGAATAAAGATAGGTTTTAATACCAGCAATAATTTTTTTGTAAAAAAAATATGTATATTACCAAAAGTACATTATTACCAACATACATTTCTGAAAAAAAAATACCAGCAATACATTAAAGTGTAAAAATAGGCTTTAATATACCAGCAAGGCATTTTTGTAAAAAATATTATTACCAGCAAAGAATTTTATCAACAATACATTTTTGAAGCAAAAATATTACTATCAATAAAAATGTTGATTATGTTAGATAATCCATTGAGGTGTTGATATGCCGTAAAATGAATCAAAACAACTCAAAGCAAACAATTGATAACTATATTTGTCTTTATTGTCTCAGTTTAGAGAAAGTCGTTATTTTCCGAATTCATTAAAAAATGAAATGAAATAGCAAAAAAGTTAGTCCAACAAATTGGAAGCATAGCAACGCCAATGTGACAGATATTCTAAAATATTGTAATGTATGCTATGTAATTAAGACTATACTGAGTAAAAAGAAAAGTGTATTTTTACATAATTTTTCAATGTTCAATTTACAAAAAGACGTTTATTCAATAAAACTGTCTTCATTTGTGGAGTGCCTGGATGCGGCCTTAAGACCAAACGATTGTCTAGTTCAGTAGTTTATTGTTCATGCGAGTTCTTGATATTGGGTTTCCGATGTTTGGTCTTCTCCTTGTCCAAACTAAAGACATATTATTCCAGGAATTCAAATCAGGAGTGATTAGAGACCAGATGTAAAAAGTGAAATCATCTTAAAATTTTCAGTCACGCATTTCTATGTCACGTTGGCTACTGTTGAAGAAACATTATTCCGCTGGTATATGTATGGCTTCCTCTAGATCCCCTCTTTGATTCTGGACTTGATTGCTTTTTCCAGCAACTCGATGTAAGCAGGGGCCATAGTAATGGTAATATTAACTTTTTCCTCATAAAGCCACCTCCAGCATTTATTGATAGTATAACCATTGCTACTCCTGGTTGAGATGTATATAATCATTCTCTTATAACACTTTATCAAGAAAATAGATTTCTCAAGTTCAGTAGAAGTTATTGATCTTTCCCGTATTAATGGAGCTTAAATCATAGTGTAATTTATGTGGAAATCAAATCAGTGGCAAGTAGTTAAGTTTAATAAATATCAATGTGTGTTATGGTTATTCAAATTGTCGCAGAAATAAGACGCAATTTGGCCCAAGGTTATTGGATCGTCTAAATTAAACATCTCAAAGCGCAATACGGCATCAATCAGAACAAAGGTAAATTCTGTACATGAATTAAAAGGAAAAGAAGAGTAAAAGGTGTCCTATTGACGTTGGCATTTTCAGAATTTGTTCCAAATGACTTGATTACTCACTGACTAAAGGCTTCGAAATCGATGGCAATTAACGTAATTTCTCATGTATAATATGCCTTCATCCATATTACGCATCCTTAAAATTGTGCTGAAAGTGTGGGAAAATGCTTCTACTCACACATAATACGCACACCTTGTTTGGTAATCAAAACTATATATTGTACCTCTACAAATTCATTAGGAACAACGTTTCCTACTCTTATTTGAAAAACGGTTTTAAACATAGATATTATTCTAATTTAGTTTTATGATAATTATTTTATTTTAGGTGTAAGTATTGTTAGGTACATATGATTGTTTTTGACATCCTTATAGGTTCGCAATCACTGAATGTTAGGGTCAAATTGTTGTATATTTGTGGTGAGTAGTCATTTCGCAACTGTAATCGATCTATGAAAAGGCAATTTTTGAAAGATTTCTTGTAGCCGTGCATAATACGCACCCCTAATTTTGCATATTATTTTTTTTTAGAAAAAATGCGTATTATACATGAGGAAATATGGTGCAATGACCATTATATATAACGCATTTCTCACATCTATATTTTTCATATCTGCAAATTATTGATTCAGTGAATTTGCTTGCGACGCAGCTCGGACGTTAATTTTGTGGAATCCGTATTTACAATATTTAAACGCGCACTAATAACCTCATCTTTGTTTCGAGCGTCATGCATTGTCGATGGGGGTATTTTCAGGTAAAAGTTGATTTTCGTCCAGGTAAGAGGCGTAATGAGAGTGTAATATGGCATGACACAACACCAGGAAATTGCATAACACTTAATTATAAAAGTGTTTACCATCTAGGATGAATTCGCAGGAGCATATGGACACAGCAATTGAGAAATCCTCTTTTCCTCCATACGCAACTGCCTTCCATGTCCAAGTGAATATCTTGATCTGACAGAGGAACTACATCGGTGCACAATGCCGTGCATTTCTGACTAGGATCTCAAGACCGACACATTTGAAACTTCAACACAAGTATGACAAGGACCGCCAGTCTTTTTCATCAAGATTATACCTTGGTTTCCTGTATTTTAACGGCAACACTACCGCATCGTTAAAACATTTCGATCAGTGATTCTAAATCTGGGTATTCCTAGTGTTCAGGGCACCAATTTCATATTAAATGCAAGGAATCTAAGTAAATAGCGAATTAGACAAGAAATTTCTTTACAAGCAGAATAGTGAAAAATTGAAAAAAATTCCAATAACAAAGGTGGGGTATGAAGTAATCATGTACCTAGGAGTCAAATTTCTTCTGAGGATTACGTTCATCGACGAGCAGTATGGGTGTACAACGGCCGAAATTTTGTAATGACAACAATAAAATGGTGACGGTAATGTTAATAATAGACGTTACCCGATAAGGAAATAATTGACATTCATTGACCGAGAAGCAAGTACTGCTTTCTGTTGAAATTTATAAAATATTTCTCTTAAAAAGCAACACTAGAGGAAAACACGTTCCTCGTGTCCATTAGCTGTTATCGCTCTTTCTATTATTGATATGGTGTAAAACGTTAGCATCTTGATAATGTCATTATTTTCTCATATTTTAGTTGTTACCTTTGTCGGAAGTCGTCAAGTGATGTATTTTTCTGTTATTTGGTACAGTTCTTTGAGATTCTGTAGAACGAGTCCCTAATGTTCAAAGAAAGATAATCATTAGAAAGACCCTCAGGCTTTACTCGCTCAAACCCTTTCTTCACCATTAATCCGAGGAATCGGTTGTATAGATTTACACTACAAATTGTCAAGGATCAACTAAGTTCCTTAATGGATTTTTGCGTCATAAATTATGTATATTGGATAAATCGTAATTTTTGGAAAAGTTATTTGTTTTTTGCTTTTTTTAATGTGTACATTATATGCAAGCAAATATGTTGAGAGTTTTATTTTTTTAGCTGCATATTATGCTCTATGGGTAATTTACTGCCGAAATCTAAATATTTTGAACAATTGTGTCTCTTTAAGTAAATATTTTTTAACCCAATCGTATGCCTTCAACTTCTAATAAAATGCATTGCTGGTCATTTTGCTTTTAAATTTTATTGTTGATAAATTTACTATAAAAATGTGTTGCTAGTAATTCTACAATAAATATGTATTGTTAATAATTCTACAATATATATGTATTGTTAATAATTCTACAATAAATATGTATTGGTGATAATTGTTAGTAAATCTATTATAAATATGTATTGGCGTTAATTCTACTATAAATATATATTGGTGATAATTCTACTATAAATATGTATTGTTAGTAATTCTACTATAAATATGTATTGTTTGTAAATGTATTGGTGACAATTCTACTATAAATATGTATTGGTGATAATTCTACAATAAATATGTATTGGTGATAATTGTTAGTAAATCTATTATAAATATGTATTGGTGATAATTCTACTATAAATATGTATTGTTAGTAAATCTATTATAAATATGTATTGGTGATAATTCTACTATAAATATGTATTGTTAGTAAATCTATTATAAATATGTATTGGTGATAATTCTACTAT